TAGTGCCCGTAGGGCTTCATTCTGGGCGAGTTTGAAGAAATTCGATTTTTTCGCTATTTCCAAGTCTAGTTGATATTTAGGCGAAGCTGCTCTTAAATTCCAAGCCGTCAAACAAAACCTTGCGACGCAAGCATAAGCATAAACATAAAAAGCTTATAGTGAGGACGGCCGGATATGAGCATAAGCATGGGCATAAGCTTTGTGCTAAGCCTTATGTTATGTCCAGTGAGGACGTGGTTCAGTTGGCATAAGTATAGCTTGTACACTGATTGGCTGAAAGTCTTTAACTTATGCTTATGCTTATGCCAAGCCTGTCCCCACTGGGCACAACAACGACAAAACCACAAGCATAAGCATAAGAAGAACGCAAGGTTTTGATATTCTTATGCTTATGTTCATGTCCGGTCGTTCCAACTAGCACATAAGCTTCTTTTATACTTGTACTTATGCTGAGGATTGCGTCGCTAGTGAGGACCGGGCTTATTTAAGTTATCACCAAACTTGACTACAAAGCTCAACAAACTGTGAATGCCTAGCGCCATACGGCACCGCCATACTGATATGTAAAAACATCTCAGCAGGAGGCAGTATTTGAAAATAAGAGCGCCTGAATAAAAGAGGGAGTTAAGTGGTTATTAATCTACGTAACCGAAGCTCGCTTCTTGATATAATAGGGTGTTTAGGAAACCACGACGGCAACGGCGACGGCAACGTCACTGAACAAAAGAATTAATGAGCAGTACGATGGCTGTGCACGTGCGTTATAATTCTTGGTAGATTTCTTTGCCGTCCTCTGCGGGACAACGACTTGAAATGACTAAATTTTGCTTTGTCTGGAGGACGTGAACCAAGATGGCTAATTTTTTAAGTTTTTATTTCAAATTTATCACTGTGTTCCGGATTTAGTTTTGCGATAGTTTTGACAGTGATAAACAAAGTAAATGACTTTAGAGTATCGCGAGATTGGTAGGTAAAATATAAATTCATTTTTTAATCGACGTTGTTCTCGGCGTCGCGGTCGTGGTTTCGTAAACTCCCTAATATTTTGAGTCAGGGACGGATCCAGGATTTTTCAAGGGGGGATGGGAGTTAGCTTGCACCTTGGAGTTGCAAAATCAATGAGGCATGCCCACAAAATGTTGCAATTTTCATTGAAAACTGATACACCAGAAACACTAGCAATGCCACAAATTACAAAAAGGGCCCCGATTTTCTTTCTTTTTATTTTGCTTCTCCAACAGAGGGGTGGCTAGACACCCAATCGACCCCCTCCCTCCCCGCCCCTTCCCTAAAATCCTCCCTGGAAATATCGAACTATTTTAAGCACAAGACATTAATGAACTGAATAAAGTTTCCGGCTAGTTTGGCTGAGAGTTCAAAATGTGTCAAGAAAGTGAAAACATGCAGCAGGCAACAACTGTCAAACTGTGGCTAACGATACACAATAAAATCGAATGTCAAAGACGTTTGTTATCAGAAAATTAACATCTCAATGGTAAAGTATAATATTTTAGCAACAAGACATTAATCATCAACCAGTCAATTAGCGGCAAATTACAGACTAATAAAACTTGATGATTCGAGCTGCATTCTTAGAAATGATTGCCCCCTGGTGTGACCATTATGAAAAAGAAAAACGACTGAATACCAAATAGATAATTGTTTACATTTATACTCACGATTAAAGTTAGGGCAGCTTGTTAACTTAAGTGAACAAGCGAAATTGCTGAAAGCCTGTCACAACCTGCCAGAACTGTTTTCAATGTAGTCTTGGATATTTGGACTTATTTACAATACTTCTCACCACAAAGAAAGATTCTAGATAACCCTTGATCAAATGTTAATTCTCCATGATGATATGGTTTGAATATAAAAGCCTTCAGGCAAAATTAATTCAGGACTGATCTCTTTTTAACAACAACAGTCGGTAAATTCTTAAAAACTTATTGTTTGGCACTGACTGTCGCCGCGTCATATTGACTTTAAAATAAAATCGCATGTTGTCGCTTGCGAGTTTTAAAACTATTTCTTGCCAAAAGTTCAATACAAGGCTCAAAGCGACATAACAAAAAAAAGTTTTTCTTGAAGGGAAGGCTAAACAAACCGTCAAGAAAGTCGCTTTCAAGAAAAAAAAGTGTTATGTGTTAAAATCCGATCAGGCTTTACATGGAAAGTTGACAATGGCTTAGGCAGTATCGGATCCAGATCGTTCGGCTAATTCAGAGTGTCAAGATAATCCAACCACTTGCCGCTGTCAAATTAAATTTCATTCAATCCAGTCTGACGGATCCTTGATGTTCTAGTAAACACATTCTCTGTGGCAGCTAAGGCCATCATGATAAATTATTCTCTCTTTTTTGTTTCCTTTACACTACGTATTCGTAAACAAATTATCTTGTTATATAGTCGTTTATCACTGTCAGTGATTTGGCTGGCGAATGCTGTGGTTCCGCTCTGCAAACGTTTCAGAGATCGGGAATGTGGCTTCCAGTACATTTTTGGCTGGAAGGTAAATATCTTAGTTTACTTTAAGCATAAGAATTCGTTCCTAATATCGCAACTCCATCTTGAAAGTGTTTTAATCCGCTGATGAAAGGACTAGTTAACAGAATAGGAACTGAGACGACCGGTGATTCCCGTGAAGTTTTGGACCAATTTACAGCGTTCAAAGTGCCTTTCCTCCAAGACCTTAGTGACTTTCGTAGTCACCTTCGTCCTCAATTGTCTCCAAGTTCGTTACAACCGTATGAGGAAGAGATCCTCGAAGTTTACGGTTATTTATGTAACCACTGATTGCAGATCCCCGTCTTGTCAGGTACATGCTGACGGAGGAACCCCGTCGGCTGGTACCCACAGTCTGCTCTAAGTATACTCTAGTAAAGAGTCGCTTAAATGCCCGCCTGTACGTGCGGTTCATGCATGTATATATGATGGGATTCAAACAAGAATTTAAGTATTCCATCCATTTGAACATGTTGTAAACCCCCATAGGATAACTGAACTTTGGATCGTTCGCGTGGCCCACGACGATAGCGAAGAATGGAAGCCAGCAGACGACGAAAGCGCCGATGACAACTAAGATGGTCTTGGCAGCCTTCATCTCGTTGGCATGATCCTTTCCTCCAGCGCTTCCAATTCTTTGCACTTGGATCTTCACAACGATGAAGATGACAGTGTACATTACGACTACGATTGACAAGGGTAGAAAGAAACTCACAGTGGACACAAAATGCAAGAAGCTGCTGCCGGGCCATCCAGCCAGTCTGGAAGAGGCAATGGCAGTGGAGTACAACCAAATCAAAAGAATAACAACCAAGGCCCGCTTGGGGGTGAGAAGTTTTGGATACTTGAAGGGTGTCACAATTGCTAGCATTCGATCCACACTGACTGCTGTTAGATTCATTATGGAGGCAGTGCCACAAAAGATATCTATGCAGGACCAGAATAGCATCAATTGCCGTGATAAGGGCCATTTTGTATTGTTGAGCTGCACTATGAACCAGAACGGCATCGCCAACAGGGCAACCAAGATATCTGCCACACTTAAACTAACAATAAAGTAGTTACAGATCACCCTGAGGTTTGGAAAACTGTAGAAACTAACACAGACAAGAACATTTCCGAAAAGAGTCACCAAGATCAAAATGGCGACGAAAACGGCAGCGACAATGCTCTGTGGGGTAGGATTAATGCCCGTCGGTGGAGCGTTCGTCACATTTCCTGCTTCAGACATATTGAGTACCTTCCAGCGATGACTTTAATGCGCCTGTTTCTACACGAAACGAAACAAAAGCTCAGCGTCAACATCATCTGCATAACTGAATAAATACAAACATTGACTACAAAAGAGATCAGGGGACAATGGATCGGCTATCCCGGTGTACAGTGTTTAATAAAGTCGCCAAATGAACACAAAAGTCGTACAACTGTGTTATGACAGACCTGTAGCGATAATAGGCAATAGGCAATCTACATTGAAGTCATCGTTATTTCCATCGACTGTGAGAATGATTTTTAAGTCAACAAGTACTTGCGACCTGATGGCAGTAGGCCCTATAGAATTCTTAATACCTTAAATAGCTAATTTACACTTCTCGTTTGATTGCTAAATTTAAACTGCTAAATCGATTGAAGTTTAATACTTCATGACCATTATTAAAAGGACAGAGAAAATTAATATTGAGCTCTTTGTTCTAAAAGGTAATCCACTAAAACAGGAATGCCTTTTAATGCAAAAAAATGCCTTGGATGCAATTAGGAGTCACATTTTGATTTAATATGATAATTCTACGAAAGAGATGGTTTCCAACGTAATATTATCTAGTTCAACACAGTTTGAAAGCTGATTAACATTTAATTATAAGCAACCAAGACCTTTGGTTAGTCTTCTGAAAAAAGATTCCCGCAGAAGTTGATCTCCAGAATATCGAAGTATTTCGTTAGTCTAGACAATATTTATACGAAAACCGCATTATTCAATTCGGAAATATTTACATCAGCAACGAAAAGCGTGTTTGCGAGGAAACGTTTCAAATATTTCCCTTAGGTTGCGAAATGTAAACATGCTGCCTTATTTTCTATTCCTAGAATTTATATAGTTTGCTATAATCTGTTTGCTTTACGGCTTACACTGGCTAATACAGAAACTATGAAGATCCCTTTGAGATCGGAAAGATCGTGGGATTCTGAACTCTAAAGTGTTTGATTTACGTGAGCAGTCATGACCGGTTGCTATATGTCGTATAGTTCGAAAGGTAAACTTTTTATGTTTACATTCCTGCTCGTAATTTTTACAGTTTGACAGCCAGAATACAAAGCGAAATGTAAACTACCCAAGATTGAGAGGGAAGCAGTCATAAAACGAAACGGAAAAATTAATATTTTCCCAATTTTTCAAGACAACAGAAGAAACAAAATGGCGATCAATTTATGTAAAAGGTCTCCTTCCCGAAATAAAAATACCGTAAAATTTGCTACATTAAGGAATAATAGGCGAAACTGTCTTAGTGAAAAGCTTTTTCATTTTTTCTCTTCCAGTTTTCAGCCGACTGTAGCGTGGTCTGGCTGAATGTCAGTCTCACCACATAGAATTCTGGAGCCTCCTTCCGCGTGGGCTTATTACAAAATAGATAAGAAACGTATATGGATTCACGTTCACAAATGTATTGTAGGAGCTCAAAATAGAAATTATTTCTACGATTCAGTTAGGAAGAGAAAGCTCAAGAAACCATCGTTTTCATGAATGCCGGACAGTTCTCAAGGAAAGAGCAACTAATAAGCCATAGAGCTGTAGAAAGTAACGCCTTTTAGGCATATCTTTGGAATTTCTAGCACATAGGATACATCTGTGGCACATTTGTTGCCACACAAGACCTTATCCTTGTCTATTGTGTATAGCTCGCAGCACGAATTTGGTCCACCTATGGCTCCTTTGAAGCAAGACTGTGAAGCTGTATCGGTCTCGACAAATGCATTGACGTAAAAGATTCAAATTAGTCGCAGAAAAAAGCCAAGATAAGAACTAAAACAAATATTATTATGGCTTACCATGTCTGCCAGAACGAAGTAAAGCGTAAAAGCAGACGTTGTTTGTTTTGATTCGTTCGTACTTTGTGGCAATACTATCGGTAGCTTCGAAGCCTGATTTCTCTTCGGCTTCTGCTCAGTTAAAGAAGGCCTGTTAAAGAGGTCGAAATTGAGGTGATTTGCCGCAAAAAATGTTTAACAAAACAACGGAAATGAACTGAGAAAAAGCTTTCATTTGGAATATGAAATACTAACAAGAAAACAAACACTTTGACAGGAAAAAAACTCAATCCAATTTGCTACTATGTAAATTACCGTAATAGCATTACTTAAAATGACGGCTCAAAACCCTGATCATTGATTTTGGCCGGAAATTATCCAGCGAGAGATCTCTTTGGTGAAATCATACATTTATGGCTTTTCACCACATTAATCTGAATCTCTTTGCGATTATGATCATTTCTCTCTTGTACTTTAAGAGATCGATTTACTTTGATTTGATAAGCATGAGTTAAATAAACAGATGGAAAGAATTCGAAATCGCTGACACGTTAATCAATTCAAGTCGAGGTTTCACGAAACGACATCTTATGAGATTTTCCTCAGAATCACATGATTTTTTTTTTGTACACAACCAGATCGTAATCCGAAACCAAATTTTACCGTCTTCTTTTTTTTTTTTATTCGCAGTAGCGGAAGAGTCACACGGCATAAAAACAGCCGTGTCTTTTTAATCGATATTCCTCTGGTGCAGATTGTGGCATTAATTCTAAAACTCCATATTATTAACAAGAAAGCTGGATTTTACTTACGATACCGTTGCCTTGGGTGTTGTCTATTTCTCCTCTACTGTGTCACAAAGTTTGTAAAATCGTTCTCCCCAGACCTTCAGGGGTCCGGTTTGAATCAGATTTAGCCGAACACTATTTGACCCAGCACAGGTTATATATCAGTTGTATTTTGTATTTTGTATTTCTGCTTCTGTCGTGGCGCTAACTACGTCCTATGAACAGTTTCCTGTAGTGATTCCCGCTGTATGGGAAATACTGGCTATACAATCATTGGTTGTTATGCGTACAACAAACAGGGAATTCGACTCGGAACTTTTTATAAATAAATGATTATTTGCCATGACGTACACAAACTTTATGGAAAATCTCGACAAAATCAATATATTACATTTCCATCACTTAGTTCAGTACACAAAGGTTGTTTGCCGTGAAAGATGTTCAAGTAATCTACTCATTGTTCCGAAACTTTTCACTATAGTCACAAAGGAAAAGGTCAGATTAAAGGCGAAACGCTCAAGAAATGATGGTAAACACGGTAAATGATTTTTTTTTGCCCCACGACACCTGAGCTTAATTGCTAGGTAAACGGAACCATCTGAAATTATTAGGAGAAATCAAGAAACAGGATGCTTTGAAGATTAGCAAGAGAAATTACTTGAACGAGAGTAATTTTGAAAAAAAAAAGAGACTAATGATCTGAAATTAAAATAAAAAAATCCTCTAGACTATACAAGCAAGTGTGAAGTGATTTCTGCAATGGGGGAAAACTAACAATAATTTCATCATGTACAGCAGATAAACCACAATTAATTTTGTTCGTCTTAATTTCAGGAAACCCACTCCTGATTGCGAATCACTTTTTCTACACGTACCTTTGAGTATTTTGGGGTGTTAGACATGAGTGTTAATGTCGCTTTCCGTGACGGAGTTTTTCACAGTCAGAAATTAAACAATGAGATATTGCGAAGCTTTTAAGGTTTTACAGATCAACTGTCTGGTGACCACGCCTTTCACATATAACAACATATTGGCTTTGTATTTCGCGGTTCGGTTTCTTTTAAACACGCAGACAGGTGGGGATAACCCTGCTTTTCACCAAGTAACGATAACGTTTCTGTGAACGCTTTTGAAGACCTCCTTAATTTACAGTGAAAGGAGTACATCTCAAGTTTAATCTTGTTAAGAGAAAACCATGATGCGATTGATGAAGGAGTGTAAATATTGTGGTTGGATTTTGGTTTGGGGTATGAATATGTTTTTGGATCGTTTGAATTTTCGAAAACCAGGTTAATTATTCGGAACCGGTTGGAATTTTAAACCATTTTCACTCATTTAACCTACACATTTATGTCAACAGTGGTACAAATTGTAATGTAGAAGAAATTTAAATATTCTATATCTAGATTCCATGGAAAGATATTTTTATCTGAGAAAGGAAACGGAAAGTAACGCCAACAGACTTTGGCTTCGACCACCAGCCGACCTGAGTATTAATAATTCAAACTGATGCACTCACTTATATTTCCATCCGCTTTAAAATTAATCCTTTACAGAAAGTTGCCTTTTTCGCATGTTTAGAAAGACGTGGATCTACATATGAAGCAACAAACATAAATAAAAGTTTTACATAACCAGTCCTTGGTGCTTAGGTGTTGGGAAATTAGTAGATCTCGAAAAGGCCAAAAGCCTTGGGTTCTGCACAGCTCAAATATGCATAGACCTATATTTTCATCCGGCGTCGGCAATTAGTCCTTAACAAAAAAAGGTAGAAAGCATTAGATATATATCGCAAAGAGAGCCGAAAGTAAATAAACTACGAATTATTAAGCGAGCTGAGTATAACACGAACTCGGTTCGATAGGTTTTTAATATCAAGCTTGAACCTACCGGCTGCTTTTTGCTTTCACACCTCCTTGCTATCGTGCAGTTAGTTCTCAGTTCCCATTTTGTCAGTTTTAATTACGTTTTAAATTTAACAAGGACAGCTATCATGTATGAGTTAACAGTCACATATAAATTCAGTCCTGACCTGCTTGTTGTAGATGTGTAATTCTTTGTATTTGTTGCTTCCCAGCTAGCGCGCCGATTTTTTACCAGCGATGCAAAACTGGAGACTAAGTTGGCAATCATTAGGCTGCAGATTAAGGGACACTTGATTCACTTGGAAAGAAAACAACCAAACGTGAACGTGTTCAAATGCCGAAAACCGAATCGATTTTTTTTTTTCATTCCAGTAAGTAAACACCGAGTGACCGAAAGGGAAACGAAACTGCTCGAAACTCAAAATTTTGTTTTAGCGAGTGCGTTGACTTTTACTTACCATTTCTTCCTCATGAAAGAATGACGACTCTGGCAAATTACCAAGAGGGGCCGAGAGTAAATGTTGCTTATATCGCAGCCATTATATAGTCATTACTATGCATCAGTTATGGCAGATGGCACTTCACATAAACGAAAGCCAAACATATTCGTTAAATGTTCCGCTACGACTTCCCACTCGAGATGAACAAAGCGTAGAAAACAATTGTTTTAACTAGAGGGTGCTGCCGAAATAATGATCCCAAGCAGAGATAGAAAGAAATAAAAAAAAATAAGTTCATTTGACAAAACTGCTCATCAGAGGGTCTTATTTCAAGAAAATGCAAACGATTACCTATAGCATGGCGTTAAAGCATCCTATCAAAGCAATCCAAAAACGACGGGTTAACTTAATGGAGACCATTCAAAACAAAACCATTCTCAGCCGGAAGAGTATCGAAAACCGGCTTGATAAAAACATGCTGCAAATTTGCTCAAAATATAGTTTCATAAGTCATTACGTGAGTAAAACAATAAATAAATGCATTTTGAATATTTCCAAATGTTAAGAGTGACTCCGGTATTCTGAAAAATTACAAAACATTTTATTTGCAAACGATTTATTTATTAGACCACCTTAAATGGGTGGTGCGGCAGCATATAAATTTCAAAGCAATTAGTTAATGAGCAGAAACCCCATTAGAATTTCGCCACTGCAGACCTAATGATGCTTTAACGAGGCTCCCTGCAATAAGTAAATAAGATAAGATCGCCCAGTATATGAATGAATCCAACTTATCTTTATCGAAACTGACCTTCATGATGACGTAGTTTCCGTCATTAATAGTATACAATTGTATAAAACCGAAAAAGAGTCATTTGAATTCGGCATATTGGTAATTATGATCTCTGCAGCTGTAGCTTGTAGCGTAGCTTTTGCTAATTTACATTTGTTGAATTGATCAATAGAATTATTACGACAGCAGTGAAAAGAAAATAAATTTCACATCCATAGAAATTAGCGATTTGTCGTCAAATTAACAAACTCTTTTTATAACGGCGTTTTGTTCGGTTTTAGTAATTCGCGTCTTTCACCTATGTGCTTAGCACCAATCGCTTTTATTTCATTCAGTTTTGGTCATTTGTAAACTATGACAGGTTCATAAGGCTTCTTACATCTCTTTTGGCCGTGTTAGGGATTTCCTGCAAAACCTCTTTTTGACGCAGCTGGACTAAGCGATTCTGTCTTGCTTCTTGATTGTTTTTTTTTTTTTTAAAGTTTTGTTTTTGTTTCAAACTTTTTGTTTCCGCAAAGAATTTAAAACAAGCCCCCTCTCTCTTTATAACAGACTCCTTCGTTTTGATATGTAACATAGGTACACAAAGAAGTTTTCCACATTTGATTTGTTTCTAAACGATTCGATCTTGCTTCTTGCTTGTTTTTTGTACGTTTTGTTTTTGTTTCAAGTTTTTGTTTTCTCAAATTATTTAACACAGACCTCCCTCTCTCTCTGTACCACACTCTAACGTAAGCAAATAACTTTCAATAGGCGAGAACTAAATGTGTCTCAACCCAAACAACTGAGTAAAATTTAACTGTTGTGTCGCCACCAGGTGCCGAGCAAATTCATCAAGCATCAGACACTGCTTGAGCTCCAGTTTTCAGCGTATTCAGGACACCCGAGAACTGATTGGTCCATACGTTCCAAAGATGACGATCGACCAATCACAGCTTATATTGATCGTCCACAGGCCTCAGACATCCTGGTGCCGAAAGCTGTTCTTTGATTTCAAAGTTTCCGTAATGGCGAATAAAACAACACCAACAAAAATGCAGCCGGCACGGAACCTCATCTCAGCGCAAAGCTAGTTTCTAGAAAGACAAAGTAGTCTGTGCCATGCCGTCGATTGCTACGGAGCTCGCGTAAATAGGGAGGCTCATTTTTTTTCTTGCTCAAAAAGTCGTCAGTAAAAATTTGCTGCAATGTTCTTGCGATTCTTCTTTTTCGCGACTGTTAGTGAATATCAGTAGACAAAAAGAGGTGATATACAGAGCAGAAAGGGCTACAAAATGGCGATAAAAAAACAAAAAAAACTACAGTTGTAATCTTTGCTTATCAAGATTACCCTAGTCGTCAGTAGGTTTATTTTATCATCAATCTTTTGCTTGAAGCTGCTTGAAGCAAGTTAAAATCACAGAACAAGAATTCGAATGTGTTATCAGCTGTCGCTTCTCATCACGAAAGTAAGGCCTGATAAAAGAGAGTTTACATAACCTGGCTACAACTTCACGCCGCACCCTTAGAGCTGCACAAGAGCGGATATTTTACACCGATGATTCTGAATCCGAAATATCTCTTAAACTACTTATCCCAAGAGAACACAGAAAAAATTCTAAGAAAAATAGAGCACTTAAGCCTAACCTTTTGCATTTGAAATCTCAACTTAAACATAGTTCTGTTCAGTGTTATTATTATTTCTTTTTAATATTGATGAGCTTTTACAAGCTTGAACTTGGGTTACTGATAAGGCTATTGAACAAATAAAACGTCACGAAATAATGAGGAATTCAACGAATTTTTCCAGCAAGTTAACTGCTCCTTCGCCATGTCGTCTGAATAGACCGTCGCTCTGACTGATTGGCTGCTTCGGCTTAAAAATCGCGCTTGAACTTTTGTTTAACTGATTCTATGGCTTTGCTTCCCAATACCTTTGGACGTTTTCAGTTATTTCCTTTTATTTTTCTCAAGCTGTATCGGTGAGCTGCCAATGAAAAAGTTCACAAACTGAACCTAGGCGGGGAAACTGACAATAAAAAAGATAACAAGATGGTAATTGCATGCTCAAAGCGTATTAGATCAGGGATCCCTATTTTTCAGTAAGCGTGCCTACAGGCAATCAATGGTAATCTATTCTCCGATCTTATCGCACCACGATTCGGCATGAAGCCGGTTTTATTTCGTGAAAAATAAAAAAATTACGCCCCCTCCCTCTGTGTCCCTCGGTATTAAAACCGATTTCCCATGTGTTTTAGTCGAGCATGAAAAAGCATATATGCTATGTATTCTTGAATTGCGTTTGTCCAAGACATCAATTTAATGTGAAATTTGAATAAATGTTTAGCACTCACTTACCGACAGTCTCGTCCCGATTAAACTTTAAACACGAAGATCGTCTTGAAAAACAAAACGCTGTTTATTCAGACTTTCCTCGTCTGTAAACCTCTGTTGTTACTGTTGTTGCATCGTTGGTTTGAATGATTTGAAGTCTGCGGGATAAGTGGTTTTGTGGTGATCTGTATTGAACACGTGACCTTAGCGTGCACACTCGCACTCTCGCAAGATCTCCCTCAAAACCGCACGTCCAACAGAATAAATAGTATGAACGCACTATCACCGTCGAAATCAAGGCCCCCTCAAATGAGAAGACAACGTTGTCAAACCTTTGTTGCGGAAGCATTTTTTCCCTCCATGTTTCTACGTTTGCGGCTAAACACAACATTTGTTGAAAGAAATACTTTGTTTTCGAGAATCGAAAATTGTTGCTGAAGTTTGCTTACCGGTTCGCGCATCAAGGTGACAATTTTAGGAAAAAAAATAATAGTGCCTCGTTTCCGGGGACCTATATCCTCCACCAATTCTCGATGACATTGGTTTGCTTTTCCATTACCTGTCTTACGCTGCAATCCTGCCTTCACTGGAGGTTTTTCATGAACATTAATAAAAGTGTGATACGCGCGGTATTCTCAAATTCAAGAAGATAATGTATTCCAATCTGATCTAATACAGCTGCTTAAATATTAATATGTACAATTGTCTTGTCTGTTGTCAGTTATTCTTGTTTGACTTCGATTTTTCCTTATTGTCTTCAAACATCAATATAGCTAATATCTTTTAACGAGGCTGAAAGAACTTTGAAACTATTTTGCAGTGACCAAAAGGAAATAACAATTAAATAAAACTCAGTACGAATTTACCTGTGAATCAATATCGCCGAATGGAAAGACAGAACAAAACTGTCAGCTAGCTGCATGTCCAAAGCTTGGGGAACTCCACCTTAATGCAAATATCTTGACTAAATGGTTCGGCTTTCTTTCAGAGTGATGCAGGTAATACGAGTCTGGCAAACAAGCTTTTAAGAAACGTTTCTCGTTAGAGCTTGTTTAGACAGGCAGTTAGAGACACGACTCTAATGAAAGCATGTTAAAAAAAAAAAAAAAACACAAACGATGAAGAGATCTATCGAATCCAATCATCATAAAGGCCTTTTATAACTTAAGAAACAAAACCTTCCAACTTGGAATCAATCCAAAAGAGCAAAATCTAGATCATCTTCTCTGGATCTACCTAAAGAGTGATCAGATTCTCCTAAATTATTTCAAATGGTCGAGGAGACGGGCGAAAATAATTATGTTAGAAACATACCTTCAAAGGAGATTGCCCTGATCTACCATCAAATTCTCAGTAGGTTATGACAATACGTACAATAAGAAATAAAGAGTAATCCGTGCTGAGATATTACATTTCGGATAACGAGTGTATTCACAAATCTGCCGAGAAGCACTGATGAAGGTGTGGTTTGTCTGAGAAAAGGAAATATTCTAACCAACAAAGAATGAATGGTTAGACCCTTAATCCCCCATACATCCCTTATTTCCTAAAGGTAATCCTTCTCGAGTTATTTTAAGATATGGTATCCAGTCCTCCCGCGGCTAATGCTACAACGCGCGTTGAAAATACGTTTTAAGCCGCTCGGCTCCTCCACGTGAGGCCAAAAGCCAAAAGGATTGGCTCCTGGGATTAGCTTCTGGGACTTCTGAGGGATCACCTTGGGAATAAGGCCTCTCTTACCAGCCATCCTCTCTTGTTCCAACAGAAAAGCCGAATCAAATCTAGCTAAATCTAAAATGTAGTACTTAAACACAGGCATTCTTTCGTGAACGAGCGAAACAAATGAGCAGTTTTAACATTAGGAAATTAAACTCAAAGTAGTTAGCGTTCATGATAATGACAAAAACACAAACAAACTGAATAGATATTGGGTGGTAGCTTTACTAGCGCCCGGTTCAACATCGCCAGTGCTAAGATCAAGTTCACCAGACCACCAGTCCATGCAGGTCAAAATAAATGGCAATAGCCGCGTTTTCGACTTCGTTCAAAAAACACTTTGTCGGGAGAGATCGTGAGCTAACGTGAGACCAAATATTGTCATCGGTCAGGAACAGTCGGCTGTACAAAGATCCTCAGTAGGACAAAACAAGAAAACGTTGGAGACGAAACTGAAAACTGTTGCTCAAGCCTGGTCGTAGACTCAGTATTGTGGTAACAAAAAAATTGTTTACAAGTGATTTCGTTCACGACATTCAGCTGCTCTGTGATTAACAAGTTCTAATGAAAGGAACTTGAAACGCAATTGACAATGATATATAATGAAAGTGGAACTAAGAGACTGAAAAATAACATAGTTCAGACAACAGGTCTCTCTCTTTCTAAAATTCGCCCAAAATGAACGCAAAATTTTTAACTCACCAGCCTTGGTCTTTGTTCTATTTACTGATATTGGTCGGTTCTGTTTAAGGTGTAAATCACCCAACCTGTTATGTTCTGAGGTCAAGAATGAATTATATAATATATCTCCAACCACGATATTCCTGATTTTACATGTGAATCATGTATTACAGTGTCTGTTAGAAGAAAACTTTTCTAATTAGTAAGATTGTTTGATAAGTCATAATATGGACATGAGAAACAATCAACGGCGCGATCACAAAGTCCGTTGGCGATCACCGGTTAGCGCTTTACTAGTGATGACGGCGAGGATAAGACATGCCGACTTTTATTAACTATAACCGTGAAAGCCGGCAAATATTATTGTTGTATATGAATAACAATCAAAGTGTGGGCTGATCATGACATTCTTGTCTTAGCATGACAAACAGGATTGCTGCCGAGGAAACGTTTAGAATACAGTATTCGATATTCAACACGTGCTAATTTTGCGTAAAATAAATAACCGAGCTCAACCAGCTGAATTTAATCTGGATATAAGCCGAAAACTGAATATAGCGTAAATTATTCCCTTTTTGGCGAAAGTTCATCACGGTCCCTATGTTGGTCAATCGTGCCCCTTAAAAATGTGATGTGTCGTGCTTTTTAACCAGAAAAAAGCTCGCGGATTATCAAGAATTTTCGATTCTATAAACATCCTTAACATGGAACCGGTAATTACTTTTAAATCTGAACGCAAGCTACATATCAAATAAGCCGCAATCTCTTCTAACCGGCATGAAAACTGTGGCCTAGCTAAGCAACGACACTCCTACCTTAAAATCGTACAACCCCCGCGGCGGGCGGAACTTCTTGAAAATTCAAAATGCAAGATTCTCACAAGAGGTATACCCATCTGAGGTGTCAGCCGAGAAGATCAACCTGGGAAACGCGACTACTGAGAAGAAGACTGGTCAAGACTGACAAAATGGCTGCCGTAAATTCTAATCGTAGACATGGACATCCAAGAACCAAAGTTAAGTCTAATTTGTGACTTCCCAAAACAAAAAGCGTCACACTGTTAGTAAATTTCTGCAGAAATTCCCATTGATAACGATCATCTCAGACGAAACTAAATAAATCAAATAGATGCCTGAAGGAAATCAACCGTCTGATTGGTCGGTTGAGGTTCAAAGTTAAAAACCTGAACGCCGCTTCCCTCATCGCAGTTAGTTCCTTCATAGGAGAGATCTCCTAATTGCTTTTTAATCCTGAACTCTGCTATTGAGTCTGCCATTCCCTGGAGGAACCAACCAAACGGTTATTTTCATTACAAAACTTTTGGCATAAGAAGGGTTGTTGAAGTGAAAATGTGTTGATGTTGACAGGGAAGATGACAATTTCCGTGGAAAGCCGACCAGAACATTTCTCCATCTGACAAAAACGACATAATTCCTAGCCATAAAGAAACCCCTTGGGGATCACATACTGGGTCGGAGGGGGGAAAGTGGGTGTCCCTGCCTTTTTTCTCAACACAGCCTTAGTACTGCTGCTCTGGTCAGTCCACAAATCACATATACGCACGTTTTGTTGTCTACTTTGTTTTGTGTTCACACCAGATCTTCTTGCCTCAAACCAAAGCCTGGTTTTCACTAGCGACGCAAGCACAAGCGCAAGCAATAGGGATGACCCAAGTGAAAACGAAATTTGACGCAAACACAAGCACAGGCAAAATCGTCCGAACCTAATCGAAAGTAATCTAGATCTAGTGTTTTCACTGGCCAAACATAACCACGTGTGGTAACAATCCTTGTGCTTGTGTTATACCTGAGCGGTATTCGGTAGCATAAGCGNCCACAGATCGCGTTACTAATTCTCAATTAATGTTTGATGTGCCAGCCTCAGTGCTAAACTGTTTGTTTTTCCAATTTAGATTAAAGGCTAAATTAATTAGCATACCCGTAGATATCTATAAACTCAAAGAATGCGAAGTCGACTGTTTACGAATAAATCTAACTAGAAATCAATAGTTTCCCTGTTATCTCGGAATTGTCTTAACGCTGAGTGTTAAACAGAAACATGTGTTTTTTCCTTCTTTTTCCGAGTTCACCACCCACAGTAATGGTATATGTTAATACATAGATAATATACATACTCATACTTCATTTGGCCTCTTTTCAGGAACAATAAACTTAAGAGAGAATCCAACATTTACAATAAATAATGCTCCAAGGATGTAAAGGTAGCCATGTTTTTCTCACGCAGGGCATGAAATCTATCCACTAAAGCAATTCCGCTGATGAAAACTCTAAATTCTCTTGAATTGTCTGCAGACATTCTTGCAGTACAAGTAGGGAGAATGTGTTTAAATATCAAAACAATTCCCGCAATTCTCTTAGGCCGGATTATATACTGTTCGTAATTCTCATGACTTGCCTGTTGAGACAGGTCTTGTAGAACAGAAGGATTACAAGGAAGAAACCAAATTTTTAATAAGAGCTCAATCGGTAGAGAGCGACACGCAGTTTCGAACACCACGAAAAATTAGCTAGCCTGTTGACTTCACACCTGGGTTTCACAGCGAAGCAAAGAAGCAGAGTTTCGCGGCTGCCAGAGCGAGGGCACAGCTTGATATCCCTAGCTCTCTGTCCAATCTTTGTCTAATTTCACTGTCAGTCTCAAGAGTCATGGTGATTTGTCGAATCCACTCACAGCAAATCCGTGTCGTGATGGCGAAATTAATCACTGTGAACCGTTTTGAATATTATGTTCGGATTCAACGTAAGTCAACTTCTTCGGTTTATTTCTTCTCTTAGCAAGTTAAAACAAGACGCCAAAATTCTGAGACAGGACAGTTCAAAATCTGTCCGCTTTCGTATTTAAGAAAAGTTTCCAGGTGTCTTAGAAACGCCACAGATCACAAACAAATGTTTATATAATTACATGTATTCATCCTAACCAGAGCTTACCTTACTCTTGTGTTGCTATCACCAAAAGCAATTCGCACTCGGTGTCAGCAACATAAATGCATCTCAGTTATACGCGTCTTGGACGAGACAGTGAATTGTTCGGTGTGACTGATCCCCAAAACTGAAGCGCAAGAAATTTAATCGGCGACACTTGCTAATCAAGGCAATGATGACAAAGCCATGACCCTGGACAGAAATGTGAAACAATAAAGACATCGAAAGCATGTTTATCAAAAAACAAACTAACCAGACACCCGATATAAATTCATTGCCAATTTTTAAAAAACGTGGCAGGAGAAAGACAAGACGGAGATTAGGAATGCTAGACTGGTAATTGGAACAGACCCCATAGCAGGAACTTCGGCGTAGGTCAGAAATTTTGAATAACTTGAATAACTAATGCCTACTTGCAAGTGTAACATGTTCCGCAGCCACTTGTTGCTTTTGCAATGAACAGGTGAAGGGTATCCCGGTGTTTTCCGTTCGTTAATCCATGATATCTACATTTCCTGCCGAGCATTTAAGCCTTTGAGTGACGCTTTTTGTTCACGACGCGCCCCGACAGAATGCTGGACAAAGCAGGAAATATTAAAATATGACTCAGAAGGCGCTCGATTCGTCCGCCGTGGAAAATAAAGACAAAAGTCTGAAAATGTTTGCAAACATAAAATGCGGGCAAACATCTTTGGGAAAAGTAGGAAAGTCACCGATGATTTTAGAATAGGATGTATCACCCCTCCCCCCACAGTTATTTTCCCTAAAAAGGTGAATACCATCCCGCTGCAGCTAACATCGGACGTGAGTAACACCTATTATGACCTTGATAAAATATGCAGCTTTGTTCTTACATTTTTCTAGATGTACAAGGTGGTTGTAATCTGGTTATTATATTGTACTCAG